GGGGTTACTCTTTGACTTGAAGGGGGGGCTAATCCTTATAAAAATTTTACTATTATTAAAATATTCTCCAAATCCAACATACAAGTCAAATTTGCTGCAGTGATACAATTGTTACGTCTGAAACCCTGATACATGAACTCAAGCAACATGCCTATATTAAAGTATTTTATATTCCTACAAAAGAGTTTAGAATTTTTATTTCTAAATTTTATATTGATCTTATTATCCCAAGGTGATCTTATGTGTGCATGATGTGCGATCACGTAGCTGATAAAATAGATAAACTTGATAAATAATATTTTAAATAAAATTTATTTGATTAGGAGCATCTTAAAACAATGCGCATACTTGCTAGGAAATATCTTTAAATTCGTCTCAATATTGTTTAAAGATTGTTAATATCATGACATCAAACTATATCCAAGTACGGAGTATATGAATATAATCAACCAATTCCCAACGCTTGATACTCTAACACGATTATATTGTAGTTGGCTTTTGATGCTACAATGATTTTTAAAAAAAAAACCTCGATCTCATTTGAAAAAAAATATCATGATATAAAATTAAGTCATCCGATCCCTTATCTTCAATTGGCAAGATAAGAGTTTTTTTTTTTACTCAGGATACCAACAAGGTAAGTTACTTCTAAATTTCATTGAAATAATAATATTTTAAAGATAGATCATAGCAATTCTTATGAGCCAAGGCCTAACGTGTCCTTTTTTTTTTTTTCTTTTTCAAGTGAAATTATATTGTGTATCGCCGAACCCAATATAAAAATGAAACGATTGAAAGACATACTTGTATATAGACATGTTCTTCAAGCATTATGGAAAACTGTGAACCCTTCTAATAAAATGTGTGACATATTAATGTCCCATTGTCCAAACTATTGATAGTTTAGGAGGTTTGATTTTTTGTAGCTTGTAGCTTTTTCTGTTTTTGCCAGTGAAGGCTTGTGATTTATTTTGGTGGTTGAGTAGCAATTACGTGGTGTGATAGCATATCTCGCCATTAAACTATAATACTACGTAATATACTTGTATTTAGATAAGGATTATATGTAGCAATTTATCTTGAAACATGTGAATTCGAGTCTAATAGTATTTGTCATAATGTGGGACACTCATTGATATGGGACACTCACATGTGTTGTTAAATTTTGAAGACTATGCTTCAACAAAGGACACATAATTATTTCTTATTAGGACATATTCATGTTTATGTTAGGTTAGCGCATTTGCAATAATGCATTATATTGTTCTTGATTGATTCTTGGATGGTATCACTCCGTAAAGTTGGTTGGCTATTGTGGGTATACCCTTATAATAATCCTGAATTCCTGACAAAACCTCGCTTGCTTGCGACTTGATCGAGGATTCTAAGGGTTTAAAGCTAGGCTTAGTGGAACCTTCATTCATATGAAACACAGAGAATGAAGTTGAAATTTAATGTATTTTAGGTTTAACTCGTAGTGTTATTTTGTTTTCTTAAGGACAAGCTAGATGCTAAGTGAATGTGCAGTGGAGGATCGGAGTGAATAACATCAAATAGCACACAATTGTAATCCTCATTAGGAATGAATAACATCCAAGATAAACCCCTTAACTAATGACTTGATATAAATATCTAGTTATGAATGGCCAAAAATTCTATGGTAGTCTAGTCATCCTTAAGATGACTATCATTATATTAATGTTTAATTGACTGATTTTTTATTTATTTTTTTATGTCAAAATTAGTTGTAAATGTTTTTTCTTATTTTTAAAATTTATTCATGCTTTAAAAGTGGTTTTTAACAACTAATATGTGGATAGCAAATGGTTTCAACAATTTTCTCCTCAAATCTAGTTATTTTGGCATGATTGGTTTTGTCTCTCATCGTTATTAATTTATGATTTCATTTGTATATATTATTCGCTCGTATGTTTTGCTACGAAGCTATGTTAATTTACCGATCGAGTTGAATCCATGCGCTATGCTCTTATCTGCCTGGCAGACTGCATCTAGGCCATGACATGTCTTAGTATGACATTTCAACATGAGCGATACAAGCTAAGCAATATAATGGTGCCTCTAAGTAACCCTTAGCTGCATCCCCATGGCTTTGCGCACGCACACACATAGCCAAGCATTCGTGGTCATTACTTTGTCACGGCTAAACCTAAATTCTTCAACCTACAAAAAATAAATAAAAATATAGCGTCGTCATATTTAACGTTTAAGAGATTTCACTACATAACGACAGTCATCATTATTACTCTAGGACTCTTACCATAAACTTCTTAATAAGCTTTAGGAGTTAATGATTTTATAAAATCTATCTAAACAACTAAACAACTTAAATTTAAAACATTATTTTAAAAATTGTGGTTTCTAATTAAATAATAAATAAAGTTCAAGTTACTAAAAAGGGAAATAAAATACCCTAACATGAAGAGAGAAGGAGAGACAAAGAAAAAAAAAAGGTGCAAACCTGTCAAAAGCAAGAGTTGCACTCTAAATTAGAGGGAGTTTAATACTGGTGAAGGTTTTAAAGGACAGCAATGAAACACAGTACGTATAAATTAGACATTCTGCCGGAAATATCGCCGGCATATAATTAGCATATACTCGTATAATTTATGCTTGAATCTTTTCCGGCATCTTTTTAGCATATACTTCAGTCTAACAGTCAACTACAATTGTTTTTTGAGTTTACTTTACATTGCTTGATTATCATTTACGACATTTACTAATTAATTATGTTTTAATAATGAATGTTTCCACGATTTGGAACTGTCACTTACATGAGTACATGTAACTTACTTGTAAACTTAAGTGTCAATTAATTAATTATTTGTTTGAACTAATCAAGCATTCGTATGTGATAATCTTTTTTTTTTTTTTTTTATTAAATAAAGTGTACCAAGTTTGTACATAGTAGTTGACTTTGTAAGACATGATTTAAACCACATGTCTAGCTGTTTGATTGAGAATATGTATGAGAAGAATGGACAAGGAGGGAGAGTTGGTATGGGAATAGGCTAAAAACTTAATCCGATTTGGTCTCATGATCTGATATACTGTTGTAAAATTAGAATAAAAAAGTACGGATTAAAATGTTTTTGAAATAACCAAGCATGTTTGACGGAGGTGGTAGGGAACTCACCTTATAACTTTGAATTCACTAGTTCGAGCATCATCACCTACTTTTGCTTTGGAGTAGAGGATTCCCTTACCCTCTCCCTACTCTCAAGCTTGGCTTACATAGCTAAACACTTATAAACTTAACTCACAATTTGAATATTTGCACCAAAATTCACCCCAATCTAAAACTAAAAATAGGTTACACATCCTTCTATTTCCTAAATTTTTTTTCTTTCTTTCTTACATCACTTTTTCCTTCCATATTCGTTCAAGTATAATGGTAAAAAGCAATATTGAATCCCACTAATTTGCATGCCAAGGATGAATTAATTCTTGAGATTCCATGCTCTCAAATGCTCCAAAAGAAAAAAAAAAAATAAAAAAAAAATAAAAAAAGGTTGACAACTAGGTATCTTTAGGTGTCTTTGGCCCATCTCAGTTCGTTGGGTTTGGGCCTTCAATGTTACAATTTTAATCGATGCTCTTTGGGAAAGATTATATAAACTACGGAGTATTAATTAAGAAAGATCAAGGTAGTAAATACTCCGTAATATTCTTTGGAGTTTTGGTGTTGAATAGGCCCATTAGTAGAAAAAAAAAATTATTGGCTGATTATGCGAGTACTAAAATTACTTTTTATGGTTTATTTATAACTAATTTTCTCAAAGCAATAAATCTTACATAATCTAGGCTTTAGCTCTCCCTAATTTGTTTCTCGGTAAGGGGTTTGGAGAAAAAAAAAATATGATGATTGACACCTCTTAGTATAATACGGGGTGCCAAAAGAGTTGAGCAAAAAGTGTGATTTTGATTTGAAGCTTAACGAGAAAGAAGTTGTCATCATCATTTGTCGGTGTCGGCAAAGGGTTTTGATAGTGTAGCCATTGTAGTAGCGGAAGCAAGAAAAGATAGATCAAAAGCTCATGATACCATGATAGAGTTATGAGAAAGAGAATGTTGGAAAGCTTAATTATATTGAAGTATATACAAAATTATTTATAGTACATAAGTAAGCATTAAACTATGACTAGATACATTAGAGTATATCTCTAGGTACATTAGACAATAGTCACGGAAATCATTGACAATCAACCTAATTGTGTAAATCAAGGAATAATCCTTTACATTTAATTGTAAGCACGGAAATTTGATTAAGTGTCGTAGACTAAAAAATTTGTGTTTACAGTAACACTAAAAAAACCCGATAAGCAATACCATCACTTAAACAGATAGAGAAAGTAAATTGTTGGATAAAATGATTACTCGTATAGTCGTATTGTTACTTTCCGCGTATATAAGGTAACAGACTTAAATAATTATACAATACTGTGTAGCTAATTTTCACTGGTTAGAGTTGATTTTAGCTTATTAGATAGAATCGATTTCTGCTAATCAAAACTTAATCATTTTGAAGTTTTAAAATTAGGAAAATTATTAGAAGATGGCCTAATTTTTCATTAAACATAATTTGGCGTTGGTAGACTTCAAATTATAGTAATGCTTCTATCTTTTAATCGCAATATATTTAGAGTTCTACACTATTCCTGGATACTTCATTAGTTCATTGATCATCTTTAATGATTTATACATTGAAAAAATATATTTATATGAGATATATTAGATTAGTTTTAATATATATTAAATATATATTCAAAATATCAATTTTTAAGTTAATTCAAGACATAAATAATATAAAATGTGTATTGGTAAGTGTGAAACTCTAAATGTTGGTTATAAAAATTGAGGAATGAAGTATATAGGATCTACCTTAAGGAGTACTGGATATCACAATTAACTAAAATTAAGTGGTCTTGCAAATAAAAAATTGTGAAATTAAGTATATACAAGTTAAAAAGAAACACCTTATTAATCAAAGTGAGGCTAATACACAACGCAAACAACAAAACCAAGCTAAGATGTACGCCAAATTGAATCAATTTTTATAGAGAAAAAGGCCCCAAAATAAAGCAAATTAATTTTGAGCTGTATAATATGTGTATGCTAATTAAGAAATAACAAAGCAATTCAATAAAGCCTAGTTGATCACAAAGTTTTACTGGTGTAATCAAACAATAACTTTGTAGTAATTTTCAGCGTTGTCAACATCAACTTCTCCAGCCAATTCTTCAAGAGATTTACCCATTGGTTCAGGAATCAAGAAAGTGCATAGCATACCCATGAAGTTGATCACACCAAGAATGATGAGGGACTTCTTCTTGCCTATACCAGACGGATAGTTATGACTTCTCTTACTCGGGTCCTCCTCTTGGGAGGCGTAGAGGAACCCAAAGGCTCCGATTATAGCCCCGGCCTTCCCTGCTGCAGCTGATATACCGTGGCACGTGGACCTGAGCCTAGCAGGGAATATCTCAGCTGGCACAACAAAGGTGGTAGCATTCGGACCAAAGTTAGCAAAGAAGAAGGTTAGACCGTATAAAATGAGGAAGCCAATACGGTGGTCCTTTGAGTTCCAATGGTCATAGGGAAAGGCAATGGCGAACATGAAAATTGTCATGAAAAAGAATCCCATCATCTGAATCCACCATCGTCCAATTACATCTATGAAAGCAACAGTGATGCAGTACCCAGGGACAGTTCCACAAAGAGCGATCAAGGTTGAAAATCTCGCTATTAGGTAAACCTCCCTTATAGCACTCATCTCATCCGTTGGTGGGATCCAACCAACGGAGAAGTAAAGATCCTTTTGAAAAAGGTTTTGACTATAAAATGCAATGTCGAGTAAGAACCAAGTACTGGTGGTTCCTAGGAGGCGGATACCATACCGACTAGCAAATTCACGTGAGAATAGCCCGAACTTATGCCTCTCACTTCGTACTAGCCTCTCAACCCTCTCTTCCTCCGCGTCTAGATGAACATTGAGGACTTTCGACATATCTTCAGCAGCTTGTCTAGGGTTCTTTGCTACAAGAGTGGTGTACCTAGCAGTCTCAGGCATCTGCATACGCCAATAGTATGTAAGGGCAGCAGGAAAGGCTCCGAACATCAAGACAATTCGCCAAATATAGTCTGCTTCCCGTGGGATAGACGCCACAGGGTCTACATTAAAAGGGGGAGGTTTATATTTCCTTTCAAAGGCCGCGGAAACAATTAAGGCCACAATCCCACCGGCTAATATACCCATGCCTTGCATTGCAAAAACCGCGGCAATAAATGTCCCACGGCTCTTCTTGTTAGCGTACTCAGACATGATAGTAGCCGAAAGAGGGTATTCTCCTCCAACACCAAACCCAAGCCAAAATCGGAAAAAACAAAGACCAGCCATTACACCCTTGGCAGTTTTCCCAAAGGAAAGTCCCGAAGCAAAAGACGAAAAGATCATCAAAACCAGTGTTATACCATACACCTTTTTTCTTCCCATATGATCACCAAGCCAACCAAAGAAAAGCTGTCCAAATAATGTACCAAAAAGCGCGGCCCCATTTACAGCAACTGCAACATTGATAGGCAAGGTCCCTGGGTGGTCTGCGCCAGGTACAGTGTAGTATAAACGTCCGAGCAGCCTCGCTACCATTGAGATGCAGAACAAGTCATATGCATCCGTTAAGAATCCCATACCAGCAATCGCAATGGCCTTGAAATGGTACCATTGTGTTCGGGCCACATCAAGCGCGTTAAGCACTTGCAGCTGCCCTTCCAACATGACTTAATATTTACTACTTAATGATCAATTGTTATTTCAGCAGCCTCCTAATTAATCTAATTTCGATCTTTACATAATACGGAGTACTTGCCCTGCAAAAAACATCTAGCAAGAATTTTACATTCCTAGACAAAGTATAAAGAAATATGAGAAATTAAAATACACACTTAATTAGCTAATATTGAAGCTTCTATTTTTTGTTTTGACCTTCAAGCATGTAATTTCTGCAATGTGGAAAAATCGCCGAAAGAAGAGAAAGATCTAACCTGATTAATGTAGCAGGATAGAAATTACTTGCCACGCACGCTACGAAAGAACAGAAGAAAGAAATATTAAAGAAGAAGAAGGCTATGATTCAGGTCAATACATGTTACAACAATGGTTGCTCTGCTATGTTTCAGGGTCAATGCTACATACAGCTATTGAACAAGCCAACAAGGCCAATAGTTGTATGAAACAAGAATTATTTTATAAAAAAATTATTAAAGATATATTTTTTAATTTGTTTTGTATGTTTAAAATTATAAAGACAACAATGTAATTTAGTAAATTTTATCTCAATTTTAGTTAATTTCTTTTTTTTCTTTTGGTTAAAAGTTTTTCTTTTCCGCTCTCAAATCTTCAATACTACTTTAAAAAATGGTTTTGCGTGTATATAGTGCAACAAAAGATAGTGTAAATTGGTTCGATCCGCACTGTTGGATTATTTTCACATTTTTTGAATAAGCCGAGTTCGTAGTAATAAAGTATTTATTACTTCCTCTGTCCCTTATTTTTTTTGTTTCATTTGACTTTTCACGGTTTTCAAGATATATCTTCAAACGTATATATCTCTATTTTTATACGCGTAAAAATTATTAACATTTGATATAAATAAACTATACAATGAGACAATTTTAATAAGATTCCTTAATATATTATCATTATAGATTAACAAGAATTTATGGTCAAATTTAAAAAATTTGACCTATATTTTTACAATGGGGCAAAAAATAAGAGACGGAGGGAGCTAAACTAATTTGTAGCCTTGACTCTAATAAAAAGTGATGCCAACACGTTCTTACGGATCCTTTAACAGCAACTCAATCAAATGATGTTGGAGTTAATTTCTTCGTACTTGCCCGCACGTTTGTGACATATAATTGCATTTCTGTGCTTCATTCATGCCTTCATTCAAATTAAATAAATGGCTTTCTATTTTTAGGGCCTATTGACTGGGCCACTGGTGGCATATTAAGGATTCAGGGTCCAATAATAATAAAGATTGGACATATATATGGGTTTAAAGCCCAAATATGATGCAAGCCCAGCCGCCATAATTAGTCCCAAAGTACGTTGAAATTCGCCTTCAATACATCAATAAATCTTTTCAAGTGAACAAGAGTACAAGACAAAGGGTCTAGTAGTCTTATGAATTTTTTTGTTGTCCAATTTACTACCCTTATTTTCTTTTTGATAAACCTTTACTTTCTTTATTTTTTATTTTTTATTTATTTATTTTTATTTTTAATTTAGGATTGGGTTGGGTTCTATACCTATCTAGCCATTTTTTTCTCTCTACTTTTTAATGTGCAAATGATTATGTGACAAGTAAATTAAGACAAAGAATACATAAATTTTTTGAAAAAAAAAAGCATATGAATTATATATAATTTTTCACAAACTATTGGGTGCAGCAATCAGCGTCCAATAGTTTCGTGCGGCGAAGAAGATGACAATGACAACGACGACGACGACAATGACAGAGCGAGCTCATGCTAGAAACGAACTTATCGGCGGCACTGCGGGCGGAGGTTGATAGGAAAATGGATCTTGCGGCAGCAATGGTTCCGCTTTCTTTCGCCATTACTTCTGCCAATGCATCGAAAGTTGCACTCTTTTCATTTTTCCAGGTTCCTTTTTATTTTTATCTTATTTTTATTTTTATTATTTATATAAAATAAATTCCATCTCTGTCGATGATGGAGAAGGCGATGGTGGAGTGTCAGAGTCCTTGGCCATGGCTGATTGGTGGTCGAACTTATGAGTTCTCGAATGTGCAGCTTAATGAGGTAAATGCAATTGATAAAAGTAAAAAAGAAGAACTAGAGCACTAATGGCAGTGCATGAATTCGGTGAGGAAAACAAGAAATCAGAGAAGAATAATTAATACATGAATTAATTATAACTAGTAGAAATTAAAAACCTAAGTTGGATGATATCATCTATAAGTTGGATGATATTTTTTATAATTTGATGTGATATCATGTATATCAGCCAACAAAAGAAACATATCAGCCAACTGATGTCTGATATAAGTCAATATTAGGAACATATTAGACATTAATAAAATCATATCAGTCAACAAAAAGAACATATAAGCCAATAAAGAGATACATGTCAGCTAACAAAAGGAACATATAATCCAACAAAAGATACATATCAACCAACAGAAGGAACATATTAGCCAACAAATGAAGCATATCAGCCAACATAAGGATGAAATCAACAAACAAAAGCAACTTAAGCCAACAAAATAAATACATTAACCAACAAAATGAAACATATAAGCCAACAATTAAAATATACATATCAGCCAACAAAATAAAGATATCAGTTAACTAAAGAAACATATTAGTCAACTAATGTCTGATAGCAGCCAACAAAAGAAACATATTAAACATTAAAAAAAAAACATATAAGCCAACAAAAGGAATATATCAGCTAACACAAAAACATATCAGCCAACAACTGAAACATACCAGCCAACAAGTGAAATATATCAGTCAAGCCTGCCGTACACAAATTCCCAATACCTTTTCATAATTTTTACTATGCACACAATTATATATAAAAATAAAACTACAACATGTTTTGTGTGCGGCTAGCCTAGCCACACCCTGTGACCGCTTATAAAAAACAAAATAATCCCTATGACACTTACCGAGTAACCCCTGTAAGACTGATCAATTAACTCTTGTAACACTAACCGAGTAACCCCTATAACACTAAAGAAGTAAACCCCATACACGGTGTGGCGGGCCACGTACGTATAAGAATTTCTAATAAAATTATAATTGGAAATTTTACATGGTGGCCTCATGGTTTTGGTTTTCTACATGGAAGACGAATTTTTTTCCAGCTCTTTTCAGTGGCAGCAAGGTTTAGAAAAATTTACATAATGACCTTTTTTAGGTTTATGGCTAACCTTTTTAGTTAAAATGGTTAACTTTTGATTTTTTTTATTAAAAAAATATTTAAATTATATTTTGAAATAATAAATTTTTTTTTTTAAAAAAAAAACCCCACCTTTTTCTCTCCTCTCTAATAAAATTTGAATTTTTTTATTTTTTTTTTAAAATTTTATTATTTTAAAATATAATTTAAATAATTTTTTAATAAAAAAAATCAAAGGTTAACCATTTTAATTAAAAAGGTTAGCGATAAACCTAAAAAAGGTCACTATGTAAATTTTTCTAAACCTTGGTGTCACTGAAGAGAGCTGGAAAAAAGTTCGTCTTCCATGTAGAAAACGCAAAACTATGAGGCCACCATGTAGAATTTCCCAATTATAATTTGCTAACCAATTGAAAATAAAAAAAATAGCATACAAAGGTCTTATGTAAAGATCAAGAGGCTTAATGAGTTTATGATTGTTGAATATATTGTTAATCTCCTTCTTTTATCATGGCTAAGGAAAGAAAAAAAATAAAATTTTGCAAACTTGTGCAGCATGAACAATAACCGTAAAACACATAATTTTATTATTTAATTATTTTTTTTTTTTTTTTTTTGGGGGTAAGCAGAGATGTCCTACTAAATCGAAAGTTTACCCGGATTAATATGAACCATGCTAAAATCCTTGTGTACATATAGAGTACATAATAACTTCTCAAAGTAAAGTGTTGGGGACATGTCAAAAACCTGTACGTATAACATAAACCAAATTATAAAACATAATTACATAAAGTGGATACCAACTAAAAGAGAACTAGAAAATGAGAATGATATCATCTAATGCTCTGGCAAATTAATGGCTAATTTAGAAATTAGTTACCAAAAACTCTTGGGTGGACCTTGTCCATAATGAATTTATTGTGGACCTTATAGTCTCACGTGCCATTGTCAGAACAAAATAGCCCAGTGCACCTACCCAGCCCAATTCTAACAAAAGTCCTTATAAAACCCTAGTCCTCTTATCATTTTAATTAAAACAAAAGCCTCAATTGTATTCTCTTTCCTCTGCGTCGAACATCATCGACCCGAAATCACGAAGCAAATTCATCAATTGAAGAACGAAATTCTACTGCAATTGATCTCAACAAATCAATTTATGAATTGGAATCAAACACAAATAACAATGAAGGTGTCAATTACTCTTTATCTTGATTTAATTCTGCCAAAAATTCGATTAACTATCATGAATATAAATTGATTATGTTCTTAATTTGATTTAATTTTGCCCAAATTATCAGATTTTTGTCTACTTAGGGCTTTTAATTTTTCTTAAACAAGAATCGATTGGAATTTTCTTGATTAATATGAGGTTCGTTAGCGTATAATTTGAGGTCTTACTGATTGATTGATGGTGTTAGTTCTGGTAATTTTATGTAGTTTCAAGGATGGAGAATTACATAATTTACGTTGTGAGTAGAATTTTGATTTGTGTTATTTTTCTGATTTATTAATTATGCAGTGTTAGTAGTAAAGTTTGGTGTGGAAAAGATAATAAAAAAAATTAAATTAAAAAAATTGGGGTTTCTATGGTTTTCGGCTAGTTGAAGGCCTGTGAAATGGAAGTATAGAGACTTTGGGAGGAGGCTAACAACATGCTTAAATAAAGGTCACTATGTCTATTATGACATTAGTGTAGTAGAAAGGTTGCTATATTATTTAAGGGTCACTGTATATAGCTAGGTGATTGAGTTTCTGCTCTATATAGCTGCCTTCAATACCTACTAACTCTCATAGGCTTAGGCTTATTGCTTGGTACTATCCCTCTTTTGCTTTTGATAAAACTAATTTGTTCTCAAAGACATTAATGCCTTTATAATAGAGTATTGTAGGATTTGGAGAATTATATATACTACCTCCGTTAACGGTTATCTGCAACAAGTGTACCGTTCACGGAGGCCTAGGGAAAATTTGGTAGTGGGAAAAAGTAAGAGAGAGTTGTCCATGTAATGTAAAGATAAAATAAAAAGTAAGTGTGAAAAAGTAAGGGTATGTTGGGTATTTGCAGTGTGAACATAGATATTTTTTGTCCTAAAATGGAAGTGATGCAAATAATAGGTAGCACCTACTTTTAGTAAATGTTGCAGACAACTGTTAACGGAGGAAGTAGTTGAAAACTTTATAAGCTTAGTTGGTCTGTATATTTTTATTGGCACAAAGAATGTAGGTTCAAGTCCTACATAAG